TGTGTGTGTGTGTGTGTGTGTGTGTGTGTGTGTGTGTGTGTGTGTGTGTGTGCATGTGTGTTCGTGGCACCTCCACGCTGTGTTTGTTCGTGGCACCTCCACGCTGTGTTTGTTCGTGGCACCTCCACGCTGTGTTTGTTCGTGGCACCTCCACGGTATGTGTTGCTTGTTTGCCACCGAGGTACAAGGCACGACAGCATGGAGGGCAGCTGTACACGGGAATCCCACACCTTCTGCGCACAGCTGTGACAGCGCCATGAGGGCGCCGTGGTTCTGCTCCCATGCGTCCCCATGCAGCTGCTTGGTCAGGGCATCCAGCACCTCTGGCATCTACAAGAACACACCACAGTCATTGGAAAATGGAGAGACGAGGGGAGGGAGATCCGAGGCATCCAACACAACGACGACGATGCGAGTCAGCAAGGGAAGCAGCAATGTGTCAAGCCAACATCAGTAGGGGCAAGGCGCTCTGTTTAAAACATCCCCCATTTCACAAGATTCACCTGAAGCTCGTGTGCGTTGATCTTCTGCATGAGCCAAGCCACGGCTTGCTCGCGCACGAGCTTGGCGTGTGCGCCAACCTGCTCCAGGCTCATCGTCTCGTCTGCCTGCGTGTCCATCGTCTCTCTCTGTGTGCGTGTGTGTGTGTGTGTGTGTGTGTGTGTGGCGCGATCGTGTGTGTGTGTGTGTGTTGCGTGTGGTTTGGCAGTTTCTCAACACCAGCAACTGAATTCAGTGAAAGCAAAAGTGCTGACTCGGCGTTTCCTTTCTTCCTTTGTGTTGTTGTTGGAACGACAGAGGCTCACGCACATACGCACACGCACACACACACGCATACACGCGCATCCACATGCATGCACACGCGCACACGCAAAGCCACGACCTCCAAACACAGCAAACAACAACCAAACAACCAACCAACCAACCACATCTGCCATCTCCCATCACCAACAAACAAAAAACAACAAACGACAACCACATGCGTCCCCTTTATCCACCATCCATCCATCCATCACACTCGCAACACCCATGTGAGCGCGCTCCTTAGATGAGGAGCTTCTCGATGGCGAGCTTGATGCTCTGGATCTGGTCCTTGAGCTGTGAGCTGTCGTTCACCATCACGCTGGCCGCAATCACAGGCCGCGCAACACCGCACGCACGCCCAAGCGCTGTGAAACAAACAAGAGGATGAAGAAGAAGTGGACGGTGGTGAGTGGCGATGCACGTAATGCATGGGCGTGAGGCATGTAAGCACGTGTGTGGGTGTGCGAATGTGCGCGCAATGGTGTGGCGACAAAGTCGATCATACACGGTTTCGTTGAGGGAAACCCGCCCTTTCTCTCCTCCTCCTCACCTTGCTTGGAGCGCACAAAGACGTATGGGACGTTCTTGTCCTCGCAGAGGAGGGGCAAGTGCAGCAGAATCTCGAGCGGCTCAGTGTCGGCAGCCATGACAATAAACTCGGAGATACCACGGTTCAGGGTCTTGGTCGCTGGTGGGTACGTGAAGAAGAACAAGAGGGAAAGGGGAAGCGGAGTGTGGATTGGGCCAACACAAAGCGAGAGCAGCATGTGAGCGTGGTGAAACTCTTTGAGGAGGGTGGGGGGAGCGAGAGGAGGCACTTGCTTGTTCAATGGCTGCACGAACGCACAGCGCAAACAAAACAGAAAAACACGCAGTGACATGTGGCATCAAACCGCAAACAAAGCCGACAACGTGGTCATGTGGTATCAAAAACGCACACACGCACACACGCACACACGCACAATCACACCAACACAATCGCACGCACACGCGCAATCACAATCGCACCAACACGAAGCACCTCACCCTCGTTGGCGCCCTTCTTCAGCTGCTTGTAGTCAGCGGCCTGCTTGACAACATCGAGGATGGTGTTGGTGAGGGAAGCGTCGGCGAGAGGGTACGCCTTGGGGTTCACATCATCGTCAGCCTAAGCAAAAAAAACCAAGCAGCGGGGAGGTTGGGGCGTAGATGTGGTGGCGGTGGTGGTGGCGGTGGTGAGTGTGAGTGTCAGGGCGAACTAGCAGTCGTCGGTGTCGGTGTGTCCACACAAAACAACAAGCATGGACACGCGCGCATAAAGTACAAAAAAACACAACAACGCACACACACACACACACACACACACACACACACACACACAGACAGACAGACAGACACACCATCAACACACACACACACTACAAACGTACCATTGTTGTTGGTGTGTTTGGGAGAAGGTAGCCTTCACGATCACAATCTGATCCCGCTTGAGGAGGGAGAGACGAATGAAATAAAAGTGTTGAGTGGCGTGGGATGGGGAGAGATTGATCACTTCGCACACGCGGCTGTGTAAACAAAGGAAAATGCGTGCACATGGGTCAGTCCAGATACAAGCCAGACTCACACAGGGCAAGTAACCACAAGATCAAAGGCAGGCAGAGGCAAACACACACACAGACAGACACACCAACATCACCACGTGGGCGCACCTTGTGGCTGTGGAGCGTGGAAGCAGAAGGAAGAGGCAGCGAACGTTTGCTTGCTTGTTGCTTGTTGCTTGTTGGGGAAAAAGACAAAAAGGCACGCGAGACTGAATTCAGTTCAGACACACAACCGAAAGAAAAAGCCGTTTGGACGTGTTTGAGGCAACGAAAAGAAAAGAAGAAGAAGAAGAGGAGGAGAAGAAGAAGAGGAGGCAGCAACAACTGACACCACCACCAACACCAGCAGCAGCCAGCACCACCTCAGCGATGCAGGCTGGCGCAAGGAGAGAAGACAGCCTTGGAAGGGACATCAAGGTTGACATTGAGGACCTGTTGAGCACCCGCGAGGCGTCTACGATCGGCATCAGCTCGTTTGACGTGCCGTTTGATCAGCTGGAGCTGGATCGAACCTGCGACTTTCTCATCGAGACTGTGCAGCTCAACGATGGCTTTGAAGACCCCACGCCAGTGGTGCGTGCTGCGTGTGCGCGTGTGCGCGTGTGCTGTGCGTGCTTTGTGTTTGTGTATGTGTGTGGTGTGCGTGTTTGCATATGTGTGTGTGTGTGTGCTGTGTGCTCTTGCGTGAGTGCACGCCTGCTTTGTGCGTGTGTTTGCATGTTGTTCAGCACGCCTCACACTGCTGTGCATGAATGCCAGGTTGACTTGCCGGGAAAAGGGCGGGTGAAGCTTCCACGCGGTAAGCCCACCTGTGTATTGCGGCTGTGTGTTTCTGGTCCATCTGTCTGTTGCTGCTAGACATGCTCTTCTTGATTGACGGTGTTGTGGTTTCATTGCGCATGTCCTGTGTTTTGCTTTGTTTTGTTTTGGCCCACAGTACCAACTACGTCGGCTGAGCTGGAGCATACGCCGAGCAAGTCAGTCACTTGCACCGCTTCCACTTTTGGTTCTCGCTCTCTGTCTGACACCGCACAGACACACACACACACACACACACGCATGGCTTGCCAAGTGCACTCTCGCTCACTCATGCAAGCGCACATTGCTTTTTTTCCTTGGTTGATCGCGTACCGTCTTGCTGCTGTGCCGCCTTGCTGCTGTGCCGCCTTGCTGCTATGTTCCTTCCGCCGTTACCCCCCTCCCCTAAATAAGGTATCCTGGGCCCTTCAACTTCCAGCTTCAGTTTATCGACGATAGCGGCGGCAAACCCGTTCCTCGCGCCACCCCATTCACGGTCTGTTGTGACCACTGCAAACGGGGACAAATTGCTATTCAAAGTGTGGTGCAACACGACAACAAACACGCACTCGCAAAACATCATGCTGCTCTTACGCGAAGGTGTGCGCGTTGTTGATTGTCTGCTCTGCATTTCCAATCTGCACAGTACTCGCCACAAGCACAACGCCTCTTTGTGCAAATGAACCACAAAGTGCCCTTCAGATTCTCCATCTCAGGTGTGTGTGTGTGTGTGCGGAAACTTTGGTAGCCTGCCTGATGTGGCGTTCATTTTATCATGCGGCGCTCGTCCTTTTTGTTTTGTTGTCTTGATCACCACCCACGTCATTTCCGCTCACTCACACCCCTCCCCCACCTGCGCTTGTTCCATTCGTCAGATCGTGTTCCCAACGGCACGTGGTTGCGCATCAGGACCCGCTTCACCCAGCCGGAGTTCCGCAACGTACGCTTCTGCGCGCGCGCGTGTGTGTGCGTGTGTGTGTGTGTGTTTGTGTGTGTTTGTGTGTGCGTGTGTGTGTGTGTGTTTGTGTGTGTGTGTGTGTGTGTGTGTGTGTGTGTGTGTGTGTGTGTGTAAAAACGCTTGCCACACCCACTTGCCATACTCACCATATGTGTGTGTGTATCTCTTGAGTAGACAGGAACCCAACATGCGCTCGTACAACCACCCAGCGACAAGATTGAGAGTGCAACGAGAAACACGTGCATGC